GTCAAACCGTAATTAATTAATTATTGTTATTTTATGTTTGCTAGGAAAGTGTTTAATATATAGTCTCAATGAAATTGCTCTGTAGTTCTGGCACTTGGTGTTGGCTACAGCTCGTGAATTGGGATATTTTATGGGCTTCCTCTTTGCTTGGTCCAATTTCATGGAATATCTGAACTCTCTATTAATTTCCTGGACAGCTTTATTAATTTTCTGCCTATTTGAAAAAAGAATATTAGTTCTGCATCGTCTGTATTTTTGTCTATTTAGATTGCAGTTGCTGCTATTTCAATAGAATAAACCGCTATGCTACTTTCTTCAAGAGAATTAAGTGATAAAGAGAAAGGGTATTGTAGATACTCAATTCATTTGTGATTATAATAATATTCTTGTAAAACTTTTTTGTTCACTTATTAATTTGTGGTCCTGTCCTTACAATATTTCATAACTAAAAGATAGATAGGTTACTTTCGTATATATGCAGGAACAATTATCATAATTCAGTTAAGCAGCAACCACCTTTGAAATTATTGATCAATAAATTATCATTCTTTTGGTTGGTGTTGTTTTGTATGTGAAGGAAAAAACCATGAGAATCGGTGATATAAATGGGTTAACTTGGTTGGTCTCTTTGCATTTCTATCAACATATAAACCCGGCAATCATTTAAGCCTATGTTTGGGGCGCATGTTTATAAACAATCATCCACCATTCATTTCTATCTATTTATAATTTCATTTAAGCCGTTTATAAACACTTCCCAAACATGCTCATGCTCAAAGTATATATAAGAATCGGAGAATTGTATACCTTTTTTCTATTTAGTTGGTATAATTTGATTGACTATATGCTGGTAGCAATATATGATTGCCGTGGTCAAGATCTGCAGTGTGCATATTACAGGAGTAAAGAACAGCTTCATATTTTATCTTCCAATTCACCTGCAGGTATATTAAGCCAGAAGATTTAGGATATTTGAAACTATTGCAGAGTCTAAGAAGTGGAGATTGCTCCTGAATGTTATTCATTTGTGAAGCTTGAGATTTGGTGCTGATCAGGTACTGTACATGCGGTTTTTGGCAAGATAGAAATATCAGACATGCTAAATTATTTGTTCCTCCCAGCAAGTTTCGTTGTTAGATCGTGTAAATCACCATGCAAAGTAAAATAAAAATGAGCAAAGCCATTTAATGTAGCTACCCAAAATATCTCTCTCATATAACGTGTATTTTGATTTCTCTCTTCTCACTTCGTCCTCTGCTTTTGGAAGCTGGTAAACCGAGGTTTAAGTTACAGATGGGTATAGTAAGTACAATTTTGGGTGTGTTTGGATTCGGATTTGGGGCCTCAATTGGGCTTTTGATTGGGTATTTCATGTTCATCTACACCCAACCAATTGATGTCAAGGTCAATTGTCTTTTTCCAGCATCATTGTTTACATGATTCTATGTATTATGTTACATTTGATCTTTCTGAGAATTATCTTTATCTGAAGTTCTTTCCTTTTTTTTTCCCTTTTGCTGCTTGTTTTTTGTTCTTCGATACAATATTTGAGTTTGATAACGCGGGAATTACTGACGGGTTTGCAATTTTAGGCAGCACTTCTGTATATTGGTCTAAAGGGAGGGTAAAATTTTAACACTTCTCTTGAGAAATTGTAGTTGATGTTGTATTTATGTAATAAAAAAGCTGTGATTTATTTTCACATAACATAATGTGTATGTGTAACCATTAACATGATAAGAATACTTGTAAGCTGTGATTTGGAACTACAGGAGCCCATAAACATCAGAGAACTGAAATTTGATCTCAGTAGGCAGTATCCCCTGCCTCTATTACATGAACCACTAATATATCCTACTATATCTAACTAACTTTTTATTTATATTATATATGTAAAAGAGGCAACCCTCTTTTCACTATTCATAACCTGTTGATCCCAATTCCACCGCCTCCATCTCTTTCCAAAACCAATACATCTCGACCAAAAAGAAAAACACGGAAGGAAAAGCAAATCAGAAACCCTAGCAATCCCGTTGCCTTCTCCGACCCCATTCCTCTATTTGGTGTGGTTAATCTTTCTCTTCATTCATTTTTCCCCTATCCTCACACAATCTCAATCTCAATCTTCTTCTCTGCGGTCCAGTATCCGTTCTTTTATCCTTCCCCATCTTCTTCTCCGGTTTCGCACTTTCATTATTTGGCTTCACTATCATTAGTTTTTCCATATCTAACCAACCTGTTTTTTTTTTTTTTTGGCATAGGTGTGACATGTCGTCTGATTTCCTTGATACAAATCTTAGCAGCATCAACTCTCAATAGCACCAAACAAAAAAATAGTAACTGCCTTTTCTTTCGGCTTTTTTGATAGAAATTATCAAGCATTTTTAACGGTGGTCATTAGTGGAATAGTTGGGGATTAAAGCAATGATTATTTGGGTTTAGGATGAGTTCATAGTTTGCCCTTGATTTTTTCTCCTCTCTATAGCTTACTGATATCCCGTTTAAATCTTTTTCTCCCAACTTTGCCTCCTCAAATTTATTAGGTATTTGGTAAATGTTTACTGTTACATGTGGTTCTCATATAGAGAATTAAAGCAGGTAGGAGAAGCCTTCTTTGATGAAAATTGCTGTGTGTTTAAATTTGGTGAATTGGAGAGTTGTTGTTTGTGCTTGTTTATGTTTTCTTCTTTTTTATACTCATTTCTAATAATTTGTTTTCTATATTTAGTTATATGGTTTATGGATGCCTTCGATGATGCTGCTGAAAATTGTGAACTACGAAAAAGACGTCGCAGAGAGATTTATGATAAAGCAAAAGAATCCCTAAATTCACGATGTAGGCAATCATACGCCAAATCACGAGGTGTGCGTGATGCACGACGAGAATTGCATGCTCGAACACCATCAATTTCATCTACACATAATCGTCATCTAAGAAGAAAGACAATAGTAGAAGGTATTCGTAGAGAGTTTACTTCTGATGCTTCTTCAAGAAAATCATTTGATGTATTAAATCAATATAAAGTGCAGTAGCTAATAAAATGATGTTAGTTTATATTCTAAGTTGTCCTTCTAGCTTTTGTAGTGCACATAGAATAGTTAATCGATGTAGATAAATTTTGCTATAGTTAATCGATGTAGATAGCTTCAGTTATGGCTCTTCTAGATGCTTTTTCTTTTTTTTCTTTTTTTAGTCTTTAAGACATTTGTCTGACATTAATTATTCTGCCCCACATGGATCTTCAAGTTCAGAATGTCAATATCATAGTTCCAAATATTAGTGCATTTGATCTCGAAGCTTCCAATAGTAGAATATTTTCCATTGAAATGTTTGAGATACTTAATATCATAGTTCCAAATATTAATGCATTTGATCTCGAAGCTTCCAATGGTAGAATATTTTCCATTGAAATGTTTGAGATACTTAATCCTTGCTAAGTCCTAAATTGGGCTGTGAGGTTTGGGATTGTTGTTGACGTGGCTGATCAACTTGTTTTATTCTTTTGAAAACAACATATGAAAAACTATCAAGACCTTTTTACGAAGATATCAGGTGGATGAAACCAGATGGTCTTCTGTTTGTTCATTATTTCTGCCATAAAACATTTGCTTACTACTTTGAGGTAATCTTTTGTGATTATTTTTCTTTTCCATCATTTGAAACTCCAAGTTGAAGGACATTAGATATTGTTAATTCCTGTAAACGTTTGCTATTGAATTGTTCTCATCAAAGTTTAAACAAAAGGAGACTAAATAACCATCTCCATAAATCTTTTGTAGGATGTCAATGAAGATGATTGGATTACTCGGTACTTCTTCGACGGAGGCACGATGCCATCTGCAAACTTACTCCGAGTTCTCCATCTCCGGTAGGTTTTAGGGTTTTTCCCTAAATCATTGTATTTTCAGAAATATAAGAATAAGAAATTCTGAAAATATATTAATTTGACTGCATTACTGTCTTCTTCAGCTTGTAGAAATAAGAAATTTTGAAGAACTTGTCTTCCGGCACAGAAACCAGCAGCCTTTCTGGGCGTTATTAAGAAACATAAAGGTACAGTCTTGTTAGACAAGATTTCTTAGTAATTCATTTGAATCATGAATAAACTTACTGTAATATGATATTCTGTGATTAATACTTCACTCAAGAATTTACAGCTTATTGGGAATCATAATTATGCGTATCACATGCTCGACGAAATGTCACAGTTGGTTTTAATATTCTTCCGTGGTCTGAAAGTTTGTCATAAACTAGAAGAAAATTGATTACCACATGTTAACTAAAAATGCCCA